AATATAAGACTGTATCATCTGCATAACAAAGAATATTACAGGTCGTGGTGGTGTAATAATATTGTTCATGTAGATTTCGGTTGAGTCGATCTTTCATTCGTTCATTGTTTATGAACAAACATAAAACAGTTCCATGAATATACACAGATTCTAGATGAGCTGTCCAATCAGAGGACTGGGAACACCTTGAGGACATAAACAGTCCTCCAGCTCTATTATTCTTTTTTACTTGGTCCTAAAACATTTCTGGGGGGAACTTTAACTCTTAAGACTCTCTTTCCTGAACCCAAGGTGATCAGACTTCTACAGGTTAAACATGTTTCATGACCATCAACAGGAGAATGATGAAGAGCCGTGGTGCAGGCGCTCTCTGCTCGGTGAGTGTTGTGAGTAAATGTGTCTCTGGTGTAAAGCTGCTCCTGAGACGGTTTCCACGGAGATAGGTAGAAGCAGTGTCTATTTTTACTGCGAGGATCACAGCTTCGCTCTGTTACTGTAACACATGAAGAGCAGAGTGTTATTCTGCTGCATCTCACACACCAAATACAAAACATCTCCAGTGTCTCCATAAGTATTCTCGTCAACGTGAATATTTAACGTGTGAAGAGACAAAGACGTTCACACTGTGACGGTTCTCAGGGTTCCAAAAACATGAATTCAATTTAAGAAAACAGGATTTAGTAATGTCAGATATTTTTGTAGTTGGAAGCTTCTATTTAAACTTCATTGTGAGGAAATAAAAAGGGACGATTGAGGTGAAGAATATCTCATATTTTCTGTTTTTAATAATATATAATGTGTGTTTTATCTGTAAACAGCTGAGACGCTGCTTCTGTTTTCACTTTGTGACACTGACTGTAGCAGGAACTACTGTCTGTCTGTCCGTCTGTTCGTCTAGATATTAGAGGAACAGGAAGAAGAAGAGGCAAAAGAAGAAGAGGAAAAGGAGAAGAAGAGGAAGAGGAAGAGGAAAAGGAGGAAGAAGAAGAGGAAGAGGAAGATGAAGCAGCAGCAGCTCTGGAAGTAGAAGTAAATGAGGAAGAGTATGTTTCCTGTTTGTCTGCCTGTAGGATAGTTGCTTCCTGTGTTCTCGCACCTGATTGGATGTAGAACGAGTGAGACTCACCGACGACGACAGGAAGAACCTTCATGGCCTTCCGTTCTCTGCCGCTGACTCTGCTGCTCTTGCTGTTTCTTCTTCTTCTTCCTCTCTCTGCAGCGTTCGTCTTCATTGGGCTGACGTCGGTGTCTATCTGCGTCGTCATCGGGTCGCTCTCCACGGCGACCCCCGCGCCCTCCGGGGTTGCAGAGGGCGTTGTCACGGAGACAGCGGACGGAGAGGCGGGGCTTAGCCCGGCCGGCTCGCCGTACGTGGCCTTCCCTTGACCCTTCGCCCGCCTCATCAAAGCCGAGCTGAGATGCAAAGAGAGGGCTCGACGACCGGCTCGACCACCGGCTGACCGGTGCCGACTGCTCCATCGCCGCAGGCCTCGAAAAATCCAATAATACAAGAAGAGCATCACGGGACACGGCACGAAGAAAGAGCACACGGACGAGTACACCACGAACCAGTCGTCCTCCAGTCTGCATACGCTCGGATCGCGACCCGGCACCTGGTTCAGACCGAAGAGGACCGGACTGGCCACGCCCAGAGACAGCACCCAGGTAGCGGTGATGAGGGCCAGCTGACGGACGCTGAACTGGTTCCTGTTGTACCTCAGAGGGACCACCACCGCTATGTACCTGAAACACGACACGGGACAGCTGAGTCACAAAGGATGTCTGGTTTTTAAAGTCTTTAAAACAGACAAAACTTCTCTAGTTGTCACACGAGAATCTGAACTGACTGTTCTTTAAACGAATCTCAGATCCAGGTTGGACCTTGAGACAGACGTGTTGGACAGGTGGTGGACTCACCTGTCCACACTGATGGCACACAGGTTGAGGATGGAGGCGGTGCACAGCATCACGTCCATGGTCATCAGAGCATCACAAATAAAGGTGCTCAACGTCCAGACACCCAGAAACTAAACACAAGAAGAAGAAACAGGAGAGGAAGAAGAATGACAGACACACCGATTGAACCAAATGATGAATCCTCCCTGAACATAACTGTCCTCACTATACACATCCCCCCTTCTAACATGTCCTCACATGGTGGGTTAAAGTCACACTAGTCCTCATAAACACTGACCTCAGAGTAGACGTAGAGCGGCAGCACCAGCACGGCCAGCAGAAGGTCGGCCACCGCCAGGCTGACGATGAAGTAGTTGGTGGCGGTTTTCAAAGAGCGCTCGGTGAGCACGCTCAGACACACCAGGACGTTCCCCAGGATGATGACCAGGATTAGGGGGACACCGAGGACTAGGGCCAGATAGTTGTAGTCCTTCAGGTGCATCTCACCTTGAGGGCTTCCAGGTGTCACGTCGTCCATGACGGAGGCCCCGAACACAGCCGAACACAGCTGCTGGGTTTCATTTAACATTGTTTCTCTTCACTCATCACATGACGTCTGATGGGTGTTGTTTTCTTCTGCTGACAGTAAACTACAAACAGGGAAATGTAGTTTCTTTTAATACTAGAGCACCAAAAGTGGATTAATCCTCCACTGGAAATAGCCCCAAACAAATGCACTTCCTCTTATCTTTCTAAAATCAAAAGCTGCCACAATGGAAACTCTTAACTTATCAGAGTGATTGTGTAAATATCAATACTTGTTGTTTAAATAGGTGTAGTTTGTCAGGATTTACCATGACGCCCAGAGACGAGGACCAACACAAAGACGATATTCACCACCTACATAAACAGCTTCACTGTTACCATGTTCATCACTGCTTGCAGCTTTAACTATCATTATTATACATGAAGAGAGGAGGAACCACCGTGGTTATAAAGACTGAGTGATAATGCAAAAAACACCTGATCTAACTTTAGAAACATAATGCATAATATAATACTATCATATTTGATAATTTCTATAAAACAAAAGACCAACCGGCTCCAACTCACTCAACAGCTGTGAAAGTCAACATGAAACTGAATCAAAGAAAGAAAAAAGAAGTCAACAGTAGAAAACGTGAAAGATTCAGACTCACAGATTCTCCACATTACGTTTGCTCTTGTTTCACTTTATTTTCTCCGTTTTGAGAAAGTTTTATTTCTCCAGTTTACAATCACAGATTTTACAATCTGTACAACATCCTCGCTCCTCAGACATCCTCCTGATCTCCTCCTCGTCCTCCTGGTCCTCCTGATCTCCTCCTGGTCTCCTCCTATTCCATCATTGTCTTCCTCCTCCTGTTTCTTTGCTTCTCCTCATCATCTTTTCTGCTCTGAAGTGACAAACTTTTTTCTTCTGGTCTAAAATCAACATCCAAAGACCGTCGTCGCCTCCTCTCTCTCTTCATCTCTCTCTCTTCATCTCTCTCTCTCTCTCTCTCTCTGTCTCTCCCTGTCTCTCTCTCTCT